GAAGTCAGACGTTTTTACATTGATGTTTTGTGTTTATTTTCAACGAACTACTTTTCGTTATCAATGATTTATTGTATTGTTATTAAAAGTTTGGTGTTGAGGCGTGAATGTTGGTTTGCTTGAGCTAATATTTTTTTGGACAATGTTTGTTTGACTGAATCATACAGGTGCACTATGTCACAAGTACCCAAGATGTTGAAGATCAGTATTGTGTTTTATGATCATTGTGAATGATAATGTAAAGCAATATTAATTGATCATAAAAACGTTAATAATGTCATTAGAAATCATTGGAAGAGGCCATGAATAGATAGTTATAAACATGATGTGAAAATGTGAATCATTAGTACTAAAGATGTTGTATATCAATGATATTGTTATTCAAACTATTAATGACTATGTTACATATAACTTTAAGGGTTAATACCTTATTTTGGCCTAAACTATGACCATATAATCAACTTTGGCTCGTGGTTTCAGAAATTAACATCATGGCTTCAACTATGTAACATATAGACTCAATTGGCCCGACACCTAGTTTGACCGTCAATTTGGATGGTCAACACCTAGTTTGACCGTCAATTTGGATGGTCAACACCTAGTTTGACCGTCAATTTGGATGGTCAACACCATTGATCATTAGTGTAAGATCTTATTTGGCTATCAAGACACGCAATTTAGTATCTTATACAATATGAATCAATTGATAGTTCCTGAAGTTTAATTTGGACTAACCCTCAACTCATGGTTGTTCTTTAGATGTTGGTTTAGAATCTCAATTCAAAATACTCACACACTATTGAGGATTCTGATATTAACATGGTCCATTACTATGTAATTTTCCAACTTGTAGAACTTGCATTTGCTAAAATTTATTTTTCAGGTGTCTGATTTGGGATAAAAATTTCATTGTGGTATTTCCACATCTATAATTAATACTAGGCATATATATAAATATAAAGAGTTTAATTTATTTTTAAGTATAATTAATACATTTTTTTGACCGATATATTTAAACGGTTAAGAAAAATAAGTAAAAATATGAACAAATGCAAGAGAAATGAGGGATGGAAGTATACAATATACGGGAGAAGAAAAATTATTCTTATTCATCATCTTCATATAAGAGACCGTCAATTTGCAGGCACATGTGATGTAAGAGACAGTTGCCTCACTCCATATAGAGCAGTCACTCCAACAGCAGTTTGGGCACCAGGAGACGGCACAGGGCTGCCATCTGCATGAAAAATAGAAAGCAACAAGTCAATTTGAGATCCTATTGTTCTAAACAAAGAGAAAACAGTTGAGAAAAATCAAATTACCGAGTAAGACTCCAGGCGAAAACAACACAGGACCATATGTCCCTGTCATATATGAACCAGGAAGAACTGTAGGCCTCACTCAGCAAGTTGGTAGACTCCGATCCATACTGGTCAGATACATGAATAGAAGGAGACTGCACAGGATGATAAAATTCGAGTGCAGATGCTGTCATTGTGTCAGCTGCCTAAGGATGATGGAAATTTACAAGTTACACCAAATTTGCAATGCCCCGTTTTCAAATAGTAGGAGCATTCTTTCTCGCCCTATCAAGCGAACCCAATAAAGGAATGAAAAACATTTAGACCAACATGCAAAAAATTTAACATCGGGAGAACAGGACCACACCACACACAACATAAAGGTAAAATATATTCACAAAGAGTAGAGAAATCAATACGCGAAATGTTAGAAACAAATAATTTGCAGCTTTTTGTTAATTCGTATTATTGTCGGTCTTTGATAATTGGGGGATTATTTGGGGTATTTAACAATAAGCAGGGAGTCGGTTGTTACATTTTATTAAGTGGGTAGCAGTTAGGGAATTAGCGGATTATATAATCTCCAGTAGGGTGTAATTTGAGATTAAGCAATCAATTACAGAAAACCTAAAACCTACTCTCTCTCTCTCCCTCCTGCGCCGAACTCTCTTCTCTCTCTCCTCCCTTGGCTGCTCGGCAACAGCTCCCTCTTCCCCTCTCTTCTTCCTAAATTTCCCAATTCCAATCCCTAGCTTGATCAATCCCTACTTGATCTAGCAAAATTCCCTATTCTCTCAATCGTTAGAAACTTTGTTTCTAACATCTGGTATCAGAGCCTGGCTCGAGAGTGAGTTCTGGTGAGCTCTTGAACCAGGGAAAGCAACGATAGTAACGACGAAATCCATGAAGGCAGCAGAGAAGGCGGAGAAGGCGACCCAGGCCAGTGAGAGGGGCGCCGATGCAGGTGACGACGGGTTCGACGGGGCAGTGGAGGATCTGACAGGGGTCGAGGAACTGAGGAGAGACATCGAGGCACAGGCGGAGAGGCAGGCGCGGGTGGAGGAGGAGTTGAAGGGGCTGCAGGTGAGGGCTAGGGATCACAACCGCACCATCGAGGCCTTGACGGCGGCGGTGGAGGCGTTGGTGGGGCAGGTGAGCGGCCTGACGGAGGCCTGGAAGAAAGGCGGGGCCGGAGTTGGCGGAGGCGACCAGCCGCAGGTGGAGGAAGGCGCGCCGGGGGAAGGCTCCGCCTCGGTTGGGGAGCTCGGCGGCCAGGGTGCAGCGCGGCTTCCGGGGAACAAGGTGGCGGGCGGCTCGGGCGAGAAGGGAGGGGTGGCGGTCAACCCTAGCCGGCCAACCGGGTCGCGTGCGGGCCAATTCTCTTTCGGCCCATCGGTCAAGGATGGGCTATTATCGACCCCATCGGCCCAGGAAAAGGCGCGCGCGCGGGGCAAGGCCAAGATGGCTGAGTACGTGGAACCGGATATGCAAACGGGCCTGGACGAGGAAGAGTTTATGGGCTTGGAGCAGGAGTATGATCACTGGCCTTGGCCTAACGAGTTGTATGGGCCAGGGGCGGATTACAGCAGGGATGAAGGAAGCCAGATGGGCCGAGCTGGGCTGGAAGGCGGGCCAGGTGGTGGACGGCGAGAGGTGGGCCGCGGCTGGGAGATGGGGCGGCCGAGCGCCATGGGCCGGGGTTCAGCGAGCCGGGGCGAGTATGTGGGCCGAGCGGGGCCGAGCCGGGCCCCTAGCAGTCGAATCGAACCCGGGCGGGTCGAGGCCGGTCGGACCGAACCCGGTCGAACCGAACCCGGCCGAACCGGGGCAGCAGTTAGGACGTGCAGGGGGGACGGGCAGCAGGGGATTTCCGGCTCTCCAAGGCCAGTTTGACGAGTACAGTGGCACTCAACCTCCTTGTGTGAATTAGCAAGGCACCGGTAAGGAATCCATGAGGGCGGGAACAGGTGATCAGAGGCAGAGAAATGAGATGGGCCGAAGAAGGAGATATCAGGAGGAGGAAGAAGATGAGTGGGAATATGAAGGGGAACCTCGATTTTCGCAGCATTATCACAGTGGGGCCCAAGGGTATGGGAGGCACGCCGGTTATTTCCGGGGTGGTGAGGCTGAAGATGACATGGTGTTTCGAGCTAAACTTCCTACCATTGAGTTCCCCAAATTCAATGGTAGGGAGGATGCAGGTCTGTGGATATACTCCGCGGAACGGTGGTTCAAGAACCATCCCACTAGGGAAGAACGGAAGGCTCAGTTGGCGTCCTTCTATTTAGAGGGGGATGCATTGCAGTGGTGGGAATGGATGGAGCGGACCTATGCTGAAGCTCATATACTAATCACTTGGCCGATGTTCAAGGAGGAGTTGAGGTATCAGTTCGGCATGTCGGAAGGGTGGGCTCCAGAGCAGTTGGCTAAGCTGCGCCAGACGGGGACGGTGGCAGAGTATAGAGCTGAGTTCTTCAAACTGGGTAACCAGTGCAAGGGCGTTTCGGAGGAGACATTGGTGGGTCTATGCATGGCGGGACTCCGCCCAGAGATTGCAGCGGCGGTTCGGGTATTTGAGCCCGATTCATTTCGAGCTGTTTTTCGTCTTGCAGGTAACAAAGAGGAGGAGTTGGCTAGCTGGCGGGGAGTGATAGGCCGCTATCAGAAGCCGAGCGGAGGAAGCAGTGGTAGTGGGCCGAGCGGCGGGGAGGGTGCGTCAGCACCGGGTCCGAGCTCGGGAGGAGGTGCGGCGGCTGGCCCACCCTCTGCTGCCATTCGCGCGGGACCAAGGCCACCACCCAAGGGATTTAGGACGCTATTTCCGGCTGAGATCGAGCAGAAGAGGCGAGAAGGGAAGTGTTTTAACTGTGACGAGAGGTTCACCTTTGGCCACAAATGCGGAAATCCTGATTTGATGTTCTTGGTGGGACGCTGGGAAGATGAGGCGGAGGATGAAATGGCAGAGGAATCCGGAGCAGAGCAAGAGAAGCCGCAACCTTGAGGACAATGTTGTTTTCTAAGGGGGTGGGGATGTTAGAAACAAATAATTTGCAGCTTTTTGTTAATTCGTATTATTGTCGGTCTTTGATAATTGGGGGATTATTTGGGGTATTTAACAATAAGCAGGGAGTCGGTTGTTACATTTTATTAAGTGGGTAGCAGTTAGGGAATTAGCGGATTATATAATCTGCAGTAGGGTGTAATTTGAGATTAAGCAATCAATTACAGAAAACCTAAAACCTACTCTCTCTCTCTCTCTCTCTCCCTCCTGCGCCGAACTCTCTTCTCTCTCTCCTCCCTTGGCTGCTCGGCAACAGCTCCCTCTTCCCCTCTCTTCTTCCTAAATTTCCCAATTCCAATCCCTAGCTTGATCAATCCCTACTTGATCTAGCAAAATTCCCTATTCTCTCAATCGTTAGAAACTTTGTTTCTAACACGAAACAAGACCAGGCTTAATGGGTATCCATGTGTATTCAGAGTAACACTGCTCAAGGATCCACCTCTATGCTTGGATGGTGGAACTTACAAGATGCTCCAAATTGACAGGTTTCAGTCTTCAAGCAAAACTACACATATATAGCACATCATTTCCAAAGTCATACATGACAACTAAGCAAGCACAAGATATATAAAAGTTTGCAAGAGCAGTTCATCCATACCTGACATGGGGGCTCCCCCGCCCGTTCTGGGTACAACCCTGTTGCTCTTACAGCTGCCAAGATAAGCTTCACTCATTTGCTCGTAATCAAAAACATGATTCTCAAAATATTGAAGCTACACCACACATGACTGCATGCCTAGCAAACAATACAGGGAATTCTCATGACCCAGACCAACACAATAAAACAAAACATAAGTAAAGGACTGACAAATTAGTGATTAAACTTAAATTAAGGATACAGAAACTGCTGGGCTTACCTTTTTGGCAGCTGATTTAGTAGGAACATGCAGATTATCAGAGGCCCAAAAAGACTCCAAGACTAGTAGCAGCAGGAGAAAGGAAGGAGTACTAGTTGAAGTAGTCCTCATCTCTCTTTTCTTTCCATAATCAACACCAGCACCAGGAAAAGGGCTTCTGCCTTAACCATAACCTCCTGAAGAGACTCTTCATCAGCTGCAAATCCAAAGGCAAGACATTAGTTAAAATATGTTCAGATTTACTTCTTCAAGCTCGACATTCTTGTCATTCATGTCTTCGCTTGAGCGGGAGTGTTGCGGTTACTTAAACCGTGTTAGTATTGGGCCTTGTTGGGCCTCGTCTGATTCTTTGGATTAGGGTTTTAACCCTAAGTTTATCTATATAAGCTTAGCTATCGACTTGTGTGATAGCAAGCCGTCAAGATGTAATCCTAATAAGAGATCAGTCGTGAGCTCTTATGAGCTCACCGTGGATTGGTCTCGATCAATCAATCGATCGAGGATACCACATAAAATCCTTTGCCTCGTGTGTTCGTTTCAATTCTGCATCATCAAATTCTACATGGTATCAGAGCTGTAGACTCAGCTAGTCTTCCGCGCACTAGCGATGTTCATCCCGCTGGCTTATTTTGTTCATCAGCGAAGTTATTCCGCTGAGCGTAGTTGACCGAGGCGAAGTCCATTCCGCCTTGGATCTACTTGAAGTCCGTTCGCCGGCTCAATCATCCCGGCGTCGCTACCCTCATTCACAAGTCGCCTCGTTCAGCTGCCACGCTAGTCTGCGATCGTCGCTGCTCAAGGCTCCTGCCGCATCCTTCACCGGCCCCATCTTTAGTTCCCAAGTCGTTGCAGGTCCACCTCCGAATCCAACATCATCGTCGCCCAGTTGCGACCATTTGCGGTCTCTCTCTCCAAGTCGTCATCGTATCCCATCAAAGTCACCGATTTCAGTTCGATCTGGATTCGTCACGTTGGCGTACGTTGCCGGTGCGCGTCGCTATCCCCAGCGGCCTCACTAGTTCGTCGTCCTCTTGGTCGATGATCTTGTCAAGTGCTTCGCCTCATCCGTCTCTTGGTCAAAGTCCATATATCAAGTTTTTTTGGGGTTTCGTTGTTTAATTACAGTGCCGACATCGGCTCGTACTGGCGCTCTCATCTGAGATGCTTGGTCAGCGGCTACGCTAGTGGTCCGGCGTATTGTTCAATCTAGCAGCAAGTCGTGCAACGGACCGTGACGTTAAAAATCCAAGTATTGGACTACAATGTCGGTCTTCTCATCATTGCGGCCACATCTTCTTCTCCAGGTTATGTTGTTATGTGGACCGCCTTGCTAGGAACAACTAGAATCAATACCCGCGGCTACGCCGCGTGAAGTAAACTTGCATTAACATAATTGAAAGAGAATATTCATCCTAAAGAAGCATTGACCATTAGTTGTTTCTCATATATTTGTAAAGCATAGTTGGTATTCTTGTACGTAGTATCCAGACACATTTACCAAATGGAGCAATAATATGTTACGAGTACTTTTACATTATAACCAAATATAAGAGATACATTGTATAAAGAAGAAGATAATTATACATAAACATAGGAAATTAGAAAGTAAAACAGGAATTAAATTGTTCTTGCCTGAACCGAGCAGAACACAATATATGTTAACAGGCTGAAGAAAATGAGCTGGTTGGTCACAACTCACAACCAAAGCTGATAGTAGCATATTGAGAACTCTAAAAGGAAATAAACTGATGCTTTAGAACCCATGAAGAATGGATTGAAGAACTAAAAGAACCAGGAAATTATAATAAGCTGTAACTTGATAGATGCATACTTCTATGACGTTGGGATTAAGTCGTTGAGCAAATAGCAATTCACATACTCATTTTGCTGCAACATGCATAAGTCATAGAGGAACTAGAATCAATACCCGCGGCTACGCCGCAGGGACTATTTCGACATTCCAGTTAAGCACTATTTCGACATTCCAGTTAAGCAACATGAACTAAATTCTCCTTGCCTGTGAATTAAATTTACTCACTGAAAATAACCCATTAAATTCCTTCAAAACATGTATCATAAAACTCGAATAAATCTAGTCTACTTTGCATTGTACTTCCACGTTTAGTATACATCTTTGCTCCCTTGTACATTGCTTTTTAGTTGCTCTTTCAATGAAACATTTGCTATTATTGGGAAAAAACTGGAACAGACTTCATCAAAAAATGAAAAATTATTGGGTCAAATTCTGAACTCCTTAAATCACTAAAAAGATGGGCTAACATCATGCATATACTATTTATACTGCAACTTAAAAGGAAAAATGTGCTCCCTATCAAATTTCTCTTTTCCTTCTTACCCTTTCTCCAAAATCCCAACCTCTTTTGATTTGTTAAAATAGTTGAGACTACACATGTGAACATGCACAACGAAAAAATGGTATATTAACAACAAAAGAACAAATGATAACCGAAGCTGTAACACATAAATGGCAAATCAAAATACCATGAGAGTTGAGAATGATTAGGAGGCTGTGAATTATTATACCAGTCATCAAATGGTGCCTGTAAGTATAAAATTGATTCATAACTACATAAACATCGAACAATTAATTAAGGAATCATCCACAGTTACTACACAAAATCAAGACCAACCGCTCCCTTTGACCTTCTGCCTCTGCAAATTTGAGGCTTCAAACTGAATATCTCACCTCCATTTCTTTCAATTCCTTTCTCTGTGCCCACCTCATCGAGCATTGATATCAGGTTGCAGTTGCCAAGTAGGTGCTTTGTGCATCGAAGTTGTAATGTAGAAACAAAAGTTGAGGCTGTTATTAATGCAAGACAACTATGTTGAAGCTTTGAGTTGGGCACTTGGGCATGAGGGGAAGACAGTTGAGGAGGAAGTGCAACCAACATAACCACGACAACAATTAACAGACAACAACAGCAAAAATTAAAAAGAACAACAACATAATTACAGCAACATCAAGAAAGTGCAGAAGTAAAATTACAGCAGCAGGTGAAAGAAAGTGCAGTAGCTCTGAAACAAAAGAAGCATGCAAGAAAAGGATTTTGAGCATAAAGCAACCATTGATGAATAGCGATACCCCTAGCTTGCAGAGATGGATTATGGATAAAATCACCTGCTGCCAACATGCAACCAATCTATTTAGAGACAAAATTCAAACTCTGAATGGTTGTTCATAGATTCCCTTCAAGCAAAGGAAGTGTAAAGCACATCTACTATCCCTGTCACAAACGTTCCGTCCGCGACGCGGCGCGAAAAGGAGGAGTCGCCACCAATCTCTCAAAGTGGATTGGACACTTGGGAAGTCAAGCATGAATCGGTTACGATTTAGGCTCGGCTCGGTCTGCGAAATAGATTTATGGGTTCGGGGGTCGGTTACGAGTAAGGAAGGTATTAGCACCCTTACATCGCCCTAAATCGGTACTATAAGTTTGATTTGTCTTCTTAATTGATATTTGCTTGTTTGAAATTATTTGGATTTACATCGAATATGTGATGTCATTTTTTTACATATATTACATGTTCATCAACATGTAATTACGTTGGAAGAATTAATATACATTTTTTGTTAATTTTAGGGAGAAAAAGGTTTCATTTATTAGTGGACTTGGACCCGTAGGCCGCCTACGTACCTGACATCTCGGGATCAAAGCCCTCGTAGTTCGCCGGCGTTTACTTGTTTTAAAACATTTGCTTACGACCCATCGGTACGTAATAGTTGGTTAATTTGATGACGATCCATCGATCGTAATTTGTTTGAGATTGGTTAAATGATTATTGATTACGTACCCATCGGTACGTAATATTTTATTGATTTGAACATGATCCATCGATCATAATTTATTTAAAAAGGGTTAGGTGATAAATTGATCATGTACCCATCGGTAATGACTTCATCGTATAATTTGATAAAATAATATTTTAGGAGTTGTGTGGACTTGAACCTTTCAGTCGCCTACGTACCCGACATCTCGGGATCAAAGTCCGCGTAGTTCGATGATTATCTTGATTTTTTGTATGAAATACGAATTAGCTTCAGTATGCAACTTAGTTAAGCAAATGATTGATTAAATAAACTCAGTAGCAATTAGAAATCAAGATTAGTTAGTGGATTAAGTGGTTAAACATTCATCCCAACGCACTAATAGCAATAGTTAAAAGATTTATAATTTTGACTTTTTTTTAAAAACAAAATGGATGGTTATTTCGGGGGTCCGGATCCTATCAGTAACCGACCTATCAGTAACCGATGATCCGGCCGTCCATCGCGCCATCTTCCCAGCTGTCAGATCATGCCAGTTAAAATACACGCGGGGGCAAAAACGTAATCACGTCTCTGACAATTTGAATTGCAGACGTGACAGCGACAACCGTCCCGCCTTCTCTCCTTCTTCCTCTCACCTTTCAAGCGACAGTTCCACTTCCCTCTCTGCTCTCTAACTCTCCATTCTTCCTCCCGATTCTCAATTCTCTCACCAAAATCGCAGCAAAAACTTCCAGAAAAAACTTCAAATCGAACGATTTTCGCAAAGGTTTTCGAAGAATCATTCAACGATACACTGTTCTCGCTTCTTCGTCGAAAAACGAAGAGTTTCCAACTTCAACGAGGCTCAAAAATCGTTTTCGCACAAAATATCAAGGTAAAACCTCACTTCTTTCTTCGAAAATCCATCCACAGAACAATAGAATAGTATCGCAGTCACTCTCCATGCGTTGCTGAACTGATGTAGAATCTGTTGTGTTTTGCTTCATTACCATATGGTAATGTGTGGTAAATTAAGATTGCATGTTCTAAAATAACAAAAAACCATAAGTCCTGCTGTGTTTTAGTTTGTTACCATATGGTAATGTCTGGTAAACTATGGTTTCATGTTGTAAAATAGCAAAAAACCATAAGTCCTGCTGTGTTTTGCTTCGTTACCATATGGTAATGTGTGGTAAACTATGGTTTCATGTTGTAAAATAGCAAAAAACCATAAGTCCTGCTGTGTTTTGCTTCGTTACCATATGGTAATGTGTGGTAAACTATGGTTTCATGTTGTAAAATAGCAAAAAACCATAAGTCCTGTTGTGTTTTGCTTCGTTACCATATGGTAATGTGTGGTAAACTATGGTTTCATGTTATAAAATAGCAAAAAACCATAAGTCCTGCTGTGTTTTAGTTTGTTACCATATGGTAATGTGTGGTAAACTATGGTTTCATGTTGTAAAGTAGCAAAAAAACCACAAGTCCTGCTGTGTTTTAGTTTATTACCATAT